AGCTCACCGCTGGAACACAGCCCAGCACCAGCTTCCCTTGGCCTGGCTCCCAGGAGGCGCAGCACAAGCAGTGCCTGCCGTAAGCGTTGTAGACCTGGAAGGTGGCTCGTGGCTCCTGGTTGCAAGGAGCCACTCCTTTGTCCTTGCAGCTACATCAGGCCCCGAATTACAACCTGTTCAATGAAAAGGGAAGTCCCCAGCCAGCAGGGTCGACCTGCTCACTGCCTTGGCAGGCACACACTTGATGCAATGGGCAGCAATGAGCACCCAGCAGCGGGGCATCAGCGTCCTCCCTGCAGAGGCGGCCTTGGGGCATGGAGATGGTCAAGGTGCTTTGCTGGCCAGGTCCTTGAAGCTGGTCTCTCCACCGCCTCGGCCTTCACAGGTGTCAAGCCCTGGGCTGGCCAGCAGAGGTGCTGCAGGGCACGGTGGGGGCTCCTGAAGGAGTTAACTGCTTTCACTGTTGTTTATATATATATATATATATATATATATATATACTATATATATAGTGGTTTGTACCTGGGCCGCTTTGAGACTGCCCCATTTCAGAGCCCGATGGCAAGCAGTGGGTTCCCTCCGCCAATGCTCCCGACTTGCTACATGCCAGATTTCTCAAGGACCCAGGGCAGAAAATGAAAACTTATTTTGTATTATGCCACCATTTTCTGCATTCTGCATGCATGGCTTTTATATACTTTGCAACAACATTAAGAAGGAAGAGAACATAAAATAGAGAGACTTAGTCCATTTGTTATGGGGTCTTGGGGTTGCAGCTGGCTTCACAGATAGAGGGCAACAGCTGAGTCTGATGCCTACAGCAGAACTGAGAAGATCATGAGACGGAGCCTGGCTCAAGCGACACGGGGCCTCAGAGGGTGACATCAGAGGGGGCAAAGCGAGGATGGTTAGGCAGACGCAGGTTGCCACTGCTACGAGAATGGCTGGGCCTCCCCTGTTGAATTATTGTACTCTGCAAAGTCAAGTGCATCCTCCAGGTGACCCAGGATGTAGAATGTGTTTCTTTGGGAGGGCTCAGTGGAGGGCAACCTACAGAGGACATGCAGAACTGGATCAGAGGGGGCGAGGGCCCCATGGCAAAGCAAGGGCGAAAAGTTAGCAGGAGGCTCCCCCTGGGCTGCGGTGCAAGGAGGAGGTGGCGCTCCTGGTGAGTAGCACCTGTGGCTCCTGCGGGGCTGCAGGCTGTTGCGGTTCACTTGTTCAAGCTGAAAGCCAATGGACGGCATTGGGGGTGGGACATACTGTTCACCTGCAGATGAGGCCAGTCTCTGGCTGTACAGGAGGAGGACTGACCCCTGCATATGGGTGGTCACACCTGTGCCCTGGCTCTGTGAACCCCCAGAAAGCATGGCCTGCTGTGCCTGGCTCAGAAGGTGTCACTTTACTGCAGCCCACCCATTTGTTGGTGCGATCGGCTTTGCAAACACAAGCCTTGTTCCCACCCAGAACTCTGCACCCGTGGGAGCTCCAGTGGCTGCCTCCGACTGCGTGGACCTAGGGAGGCAGCTGTGGGTTTGGAAGGGCCCACAGTGCCAAGTGTGACCGTGCAGAGGGAGAGCTGTTCAGGCCCCCTGGGGGTCAATGTGAGCATTCATGTGGCTCCTGCAGATCTTTGGGGGTGCACTGGCGGGAGAGGGATAAAAACGCTGCTCATGGCCCAGGACACCTGCTCCCAGGGACAAGCCTGCCTTCTCACCAAGGCCTTGTGTTGGGTGGAAAGCAGCCAGCCTCACCACAGAGCCATGTTCAGTGTGGGTTCACCCACACAATGCCGCCTTGATGCCCTTCAGCTGACGCAGATGGAGAGTGGGCATTCAGACAGGGTGTGGGCAGGATTTGGCACTGTAGTTGAGCGCTATGGCAGCCCAATGTCCGGCCCACCCACCTGCAGGAGGGTGCCTGGAGGGCAGACCCCAGGTACCCTTCTTGTGTGAAGACACTTTCCCATTCAGATGCTACTAACATGCAATCTACCGGGAAATCAAAGTGTCAACTTGTACACGACAGGAAACACCTACCTCTGCGAGTCTGAAGAGGGCGCTCCTGTGCCCGGCCTCTGCTGTCCTCCCCACTCATCACTGGGTGGATATCCCGCTCAGAGAACAACACAGCACGAGGGCTCAGCCCTACACAGATGTGTTTGGGCCCGGATGCACCTGCCACCTCTTGCTTCCCTCCCATCCCAGGCGGAAGCTGATGGGATTTCCACTAAGCTTTCCCTGTAAAAGCAGGGAGTGAGTTCAAAGATGTCCCTTGTAGTCTTTGGAATAAAGAAAGTGAAGAGAACCAAACATCACTTTAAAATGTGTGTTGTCATCAGCTAGATGCAGTATGTCGCCTGACACTGCTGCACAGGGCCCCACTGCAAAGATGCTCACCCCAAGCTCAAAGGACGTCCCGTCACAACCCAGTGACCCCCAAGGGAGCACTACCTTGGGACAGCAGCACGGGGCTAAGGTTGTCTGCACACGCAATTCCTGTGTTGGACACGTGGCTGCTGCCACCCGCTTGGCCAGCGTGGTTCCACAGGCAGCCTAAGGCCAGGCAGGAAGCCACAGAGAGAGCCAGGCTCAGGTAGGGGCTGGCCCAGGGCTCTCGTGGCTCCGTTGGGACGTGAGGAAAGGCTGCCCTAAAGGAGTGGCTCTTTCAGACCCTCTGAGAAAACGGCACCTCAGCCCGCAGCGGCCCGCAGAGCTTGAGTGGTGAGGTGTGAGTGAGCTTCATCGGCTGCCACAGGTGCACATTCTGGCAGAGGGCTTCCGGCCAGGGCCTCCTGGGCTGTGGCACGTCACGGAAGTTGCCATCCCAGAGCTGGAGCACCCATGAGCAGTCACGTGTGCCACAGCAGGAAGCCGCAGAGCAAGGAGGGCTTGGCTAGCTGCCCAACAGCCAGCACCCCTTGACCCACCCACCCCTGCCCTAACGCCCCATCCCCCACAAAGCACTGCATCTTAAAGATCACCACACTGGAGACGGGATGCCTCGGGAGACGAACCCTAGCACTTGCTGTCAGAATGCTCCGCAAGTGCTGATATCCACGAGTGAGTTCACAGCTGAAGCGTTTTTATACAGGCCTGAAGCCACACAGGCTCACACCAGGGACCCGAGGTGGGCATTCATCTCACAGCTTGGCATGAGCGACTCGGAGCTGAAACTTTTCCAAAGGCACCAGTGTGGGGACCCGAGGCGCAGAGCCGCGGAGTCCCCAGCACTGCCTGGAGTCGCCGCCTGGTGCCTTCGGGCCCTCTGCACCTGGATACAGGTATGTTGGTCTACTAGAACAAAGTTTCTTGGCTCCCAGTACATAGCCTGCTGCATGCAAATCCAATCCCCGGTGTAGCTGAATCAAATGCTGACCTAAAGCCACTGCAGTCCTGCTTGGCCACTGTAGTCCTGCTTGGCCACTGCCAGCGCTGGGTACCTAGGACTCTCTCGGGTTAAGCTTTGTGCTTGCTGCTTATCTGTTACAGGGAAAATAGCAGCTAGGAATGGCAGCATCTCACGGGCACAGACAGTGCCTGGGACAGTATCTAGATCAACAGCTCTCTGAAGAGCAGGGTGGCCACCAGCCAGCCAGGCCACGAGCCTCATACTTACCATGGCCGGAGGGCTAAGTCTGTCACTGTTGTCCCATTTCACAGATGGTTCGAATGGGGCTGGTCGAGGGTGTGGAGCTGCGTGGCAGCAAAGCCCAGAACTTCCTGCCGAATCCCACACCAACAGTCCTTGCTATTGTTAATGTTTTACTTCTTCACCGTGAGGAGAGAAGCCCAGTGTGGGCAACGGCCCCCTAAAAGACACAGGATTAGGCAACTTGCACCTGGCTTCAGGGTCTCATGAAGCAGGCGCCTGGGCAGGCAAAGCTGGACCATTCCTTTGTGTCTGCTTGCCCTCGCAGAACTGGCACGTGTCTGAGGCCTCCGAGTGGCAGAGCAGGCAGGAGGCTGCACCTGTGGGCCACCGGAGGCTCCAGCAGCGCTTGGCTCTAGAGCTGTTAGCAAGCCTGCAGGGCAGCCAGGTTGGAAGATTCTCAGAGTGTGTTCCTGCATATGCGCTGGCCAAGGAGGTCAGACCCCTCTTGAATCTTGGCCTCCCGTGTTTACCCTGAGCCTACACTGGGGAGGAGGGCCATCTCAGCCTCAGCCTCCGACCTGGGACAGGGCCAGGTGTCCACTGTTGGGAAAACCATTCGCCCCTGACAAAGTGCACCCACATCCACAGCACAGAAGGCTTTGCTGCAAGTGGCTGTGATGTTTCATTTTCCTTTTGACTGAGCTCTATTCTGACACTGTTCTATTAAACCAAACACAACATATTCATCCTCTTCAGTGCCTGGCCTGAGAGGCTACCGTTTATATCCTTTCCTGATCTTCCCCGTCATTTCTTCCCTCGGAAAATCACACCCAGGATCCTCAGAAATGGGTTTGAGACTCCCATGTTGACTTTGCTCTAAGATCAAAGCTTATTACCCACACAGTGGACTCAGTGGTGAGCAACTCAGGGCACAAGACAACGTCATGTCCTGCTGGGTCTCTCCCTCTGCCTCCAACCGTGGCACCTGCAAAGCAAAGCTCTGAGTTGCTCTGCAGCTGGAGGTCGCCCTTCACAGGGCAGCCCACAGTGCCCAGGCTCTGCAGCTGGAGGTCGCCCTTCACAGGGCAGCCCACAGTGCCCAGGCTCTGCAGCTGAGGTCACCCTTCACAGGGCAGCCCACAGTGCCCAGGCTCTGCAGCTGAGGTCGCCCTTCACAGGGCAGCCCACAGTGCCCAGACCTGCCTGCAGAGTGAGAAGTCACAGGTGCAGAGGTGCTGGGAGTCACACGGCAGAGGCGTGCACAACACAAATCTTTATTTTTTCCCATGGTGCAGCCCCCTGGCTCAGGATTCAGCTGCTGGCACTGCAGTGTCCACTGCTCCTACCCACCTTTGGGGGAAGGCCCTTTGCCACAGACAGCGCCTCTGAAGACTCCCATGCCATGGGACACAAAGCACTCAGGAAGGGCAGTCGCTTTCAGCACTGAACGCCCAGGAAAGTGTCCCGTCACTGTTCAGGGAACTGGACCCCAAGGGGAGAGCTAGAGACGCCAGGAGGACACAAGGCAGAGTTCAGAATAAAATCCCATCTCGAGGCGCATATTCCATCGGCTTTTTCTGTTCCTGCTTCTGCTGGTATCTGGCCCTCTGGTAGAAAACGATGATGACCACGGTGACGGCATTGAGAAGAATGACCAGCAGTATGAGCCAGAATGAGTAGCCGTAGCTGTGGGTGGCTCCTTTCGGGGTAAAGTCTGGGTGCAGTACCTGCGACAGCTCTTGCGAGAGATGGTAGGACTGCGTGTTCCCCACAAACAGCATCATGGCCACGAAAATGAAGCATGCTGAAAAGGAGGTTCCATCTCATGAATGGCAAGGCCAAACAGGTCTTCATGTCACTTACCTTCTTTTTAGAAATAAGTCTCTTTCTCGGACATTTACTGAACATCTACACTGAGGTTTACATTCCGTTAAGCATTAGTGAGAGCATAAAATGCGACAAACCAACTCAATCCCAGACACAAAAGGCTGAAGGCTGAGCAGAGCAATGTACCACAAGAACAAACGTCTAAACCTTCCAGAAGGAGCTACAGGTGATCCATAGCCGTTCTAGAGCCGACCTAGAGCTAGCCTACACTTGAGCCACAACTGGCCTGCAGCTGGCATACAACTGGCCCGCAGCTGGCATACAGCTGGGCTGTAGCTAGCCTGCAGCTTGTCTATAGCTGGCCCACAGTTGGCCCATAGCTGGCATTCAGCTGGGCTGTAGCTGGCCTGCAGCTGGCCCACAGCTGGCCCACAGCTGGTCCATTTTCCAGGGCATGTGGTGGGTGTGTGACAGGAGTGCTGATGAACAAGTGGGCTTGTGATTTGGAGTCAGCACAGAAGGACAGGACATGGGAAGTGGAGAAGCAGCAGCCGTGGCACACGGGAATGGCTGGCTCATCAAAGACCCAGTGGGCACAGGGGGCAGCATACCAGGGACAGTGAAGGATGGGGGACAGTGCCCAATGAGAACCAACACAGCCCTGGAGAGCTGTGGTGCTCACTCAGTGAGCTTGCATATCCTTCTCCATGACCCATGGTCATCCTCATGGGATGGCTCTCCCCACCTGCCTCGTTTTAGTAGAAAATGGGGGTCTTTGGTGTCCCTGTTCTGTTCTTCTCCAAAGGACATTTCTCAGACTTGAGAGCATCAACTGGACCCTTCCAGGGAGTTTTGCTCCCTTCCAGGGAGGGAGCAAGGCTGAGGGCCCCCAATCAAACAGCCTTGTATAGTCAGAGTCCTTCGCTCAGCCTCCTTCCTCAGCTGTCCGCAGGGCTCAGGCAGGGACCAAGGAAAGCACAGGCCTGGGGCTGGTCTGAGAGGACGGAAGTATTCTAAAACTGACTCTTAAGGCCCAGCCTTGCGGCAAAGCCAGCAAAGACACCGCCTTCAACACAGGCATCCCAAAGCAGTGTGGGTTCAAGTCCCAGCTGCTCTAGTGCCCATGCTGCTGACACACCTGGGAAAGCAGCGAGGGACGGCCCGAGTGGTTGAGACCGCTCACCATGTGGGAGTGTCAGGTCCAGCCCTGGCCACTGTGGCCATTTGGAGAGTAAACCAGCAGATTATAAATAAATAAATTTTTTAATTAAGTGAAACTGATTATGGTGACACCTGCTGGTCTCAGGGACCACAGCGCCATGCTCTTGTTATAGGAGAAGCATTGATACATGGCTCACATTCCAGAGAAGCTGCTCCAACAGTGAGGAGCTGCCCCAGGACTCCTGCTGGCCCGGTGACCATGGTCCCCCTAGGATCCCACGGGCAGAAGTCCCTGCCTGCCCTGCCACGAGCCCTTCCGTTTGTGGACAGATAGAACAGAACTGTCAGTGTAGGGCAGAGGTGCCAGGCCAACCCCACCTCGTGAGCAAGAGTTTTCTTCTCAGCTCCCACAGCCTTGATCAGTGGGGAGACTCATTAATAGTTCCTGACGACAGACCTTGGTCCACGGCCTCCTGGCTTTGCGTCTGTGGTGTGTCCCCTGACGCTCTCCCGGCGCCTTGCACCTGTTAATTATACCTCATTTTCCTCTCGGGACGCTCTGTGAAGAGCTGACTCATCGAACAGCAGGATGAGCACAGGGAGAGATGCTTGCTCTGCAATGGGCATCTGGCTTGACTTTGGATTGCAAGGGACCCTCCCACAGGTTGAGGGGCACCCCATACTCCCTAAATGTCTGGGGTTCTGAACTCCAGGCTGTCCTCAGCGGCCTGGCTCCTACAACTTGCTTGGGGTAGAGGCTTGACCCAAGCTTGAAGAGCAGGGGGCTCAGTGCACCTGCTGGCACCTGGGATGATCCCCTTCTGACCCAGCACTAAGAACCTGGGATGCTCCATGGATTCCTCAGCTCAGGGACGAAGGCATCAACAGCAGAAATTCTGGGGTGTTCTCTCTGACTCCTGCCTTCCTGCAGCTGGGACAGGCCCTGTGCCCGTGTCCAGCCCAGGGCCAGGGTTGGGGCTGCAGGAGGGCTGCAGGGGGGCAGGGCTCAGGCAGGGACGGAGGACCAGTGGCCTGCTTTGTCCTTCCAGCCAGGTCATCTCCTCTCAGGAAGAAGCGAGGAACTTGCTCCATGCCCTGGCCTCTGCCTCTGCCAGGAACCTTCATCCAAATCCAGCATCCAGGCAGTCTGCGGGGCTCACCCGGCCCTCCTGCTGCCAAGACCCAGCTGCGAAATTCTTGGCCCTCCCTCACTGTGGTGGGCAGTGAGGAAAGAGGGTGGCAGAGGATAAAGGGAGGACAGAGACCAGCAGGGTGTGAGTAGGGTCTGGGGGCCACCTGGCTGCCCTGGGGCTCCTTCTGGGCCCTAGCAGCAGGTCTGCCCCTGCCGTGGCAGCCTCCCTGGCTTCCCCCACACCTCACTGCCTCTCCCAGGTGAGGACTGAGCAGGGAAGAGAGGAGAGAATGCTCTCTGTGCATCTCACAGCTCCAACCACAGCAGGACGGAGTCCTGAGCCCACGGGACATGACATCCTTCACACGGGCTCCGCGGCTCTGAGGCTGCACAGGCCACACTGCCAGCTCCACCCCGGCCTCACGCCACGTCAGCATCTATGTGGACTCTAGCAAACAGCTTGTCCTTGCTCTACCCCTCCCAGCCATCCTCCCTCCCCTGCCTCTTGCAGCCAAGGAGAGGCAGACCCCAGTTCTGGCTCTAGGTGGGCTGGTGTGGTTGCACACTGATGTTGAACTCAAACAGCCTGGCAGGTGAAGGGGGCCATTTCCTCTCGCCTGCTGGGAAATAAGGAGTGTTCTCTCCCAGGGCCACTGCTGTGGGCCATGAGCCTGGGGACTGCCTCTAGACCTTCAGGAGCAGGAAGCAGCTGATTTGGGGCTCAGAAAGTCAAAAGAAGGAGTGAGGGACAGAGAGAGGTAGCACTGACGACCTGGGCTGAGAAGCTCAATCCAGCCATGCCTGAAACGGCAGCTTCCCTCAATCACACCAACAAATAAATAAGAAAGAAATTATTCCTTTACCCCGGCAAGGCATGCCAGCTGATTTGTCTTGGGTTTATGAACTTGAGGCAGGTTATGCTCACAGAAGAACTCCAGGCAGGGAATCTGGCATCTGCTGAGCAGGTCTGAGTGTGGGCTGGGAAGAGGGGCCCTCACTCCAAGGACCTCACAAGATGGGGGGCTCCTAAGCCGGGGGCTTGTTGAGTTGTGCTGCCAGGACACAACAGCACGGAAGGGCAGGAGCCAGTCAGCCAAGAGGATCTCAAAAAGTGGAAGATGAGATCAAGAGATTGACACCCATGCAGAGCGTTTCCATAACAACACGTCTTACACGAAGCTTTGGGAGACCCCTCCAACACACACACACACACACACACACACACACACACACACACACACGAATGTGGCTAAGGTCACATCTTTGTGGTCAAAGTGCATCACCTGTGTAACCACAGGACCAGGCTTGCTGGACACAGTCCCTACTCCTACCTGCAGGCCTGGCTCACGGCTCACATTCCCTCCTTGACTTCTGAGGCCTCTCCCCCCAGCCAGTGCTAGGCCAGGGCTCTTCGCACATGCCTGCTGCACACTCAGGACCCTCGCCCTGGAAACTGGACCGTGGCTGCATGGGGTGTGTCTGTGTGTGTAGCTCAGCTGAGTCCTCCCCTGCCCAGCTGCCCTGAGAGCTGCTTGTTCACCCACTCCAGCACACTGTGGCCGGTTGCCGTGGCATGGAAGCACAGGTCTCCTCCTGTCACCTACACCAGTGGGTGGACAGAATCCCACATGAGACAGCAGGAGACTGCTCTGCCTTCCTCCCTGGAAGCCTCCCACACCCTCGCCAGCTGGAGCATCTTCCTTGAGCTGGACCATTTGGTTCTGCATCCAAATGGGTGGTGGTCACCTACAGGAAGCTGCCGCTGGAATCCTCCGTGTAGCAGATGAGGCAGGCTTCTCTCCCAAGGTCAGGGTTCAGTGGTGGCAAATGGGAAGTGAGCAGAAGACAGCTGGCTGCCTGGAATGTGCCAGGGTCACAGCCCAGAGGGCAGGAGGCTGTGGCCCTGCCTCTGGGTGCAGGAGCTGCTGCTCACATGGACAGCATGAGTCAGACAGGAACTCCCGGCGCCCCACCTCATGGAACAGACCAAACAAGCTCAAGGGGAACCCACAAGCAGGGTGCAGACCCCAGAGCCTCCTGAACAGCACTGCATGTAGCACCATGGCACAGCCATCAGTCTGTCATATTGGGAGCCCAAGATGACCGCTGCTACAGGTGCACGTATGTGCCTGTGTGTGCCCCACATGTGCCTGTGTGTGCACTGCAGTTCGTCCTAGCGAGCTGCATGCACAGCTCGGCAGGAGCCCTGAGACCCTTCTGCTGGTGTACATGCATTTGGCTCCTTATCCTGCGCTTTGGAAAAGAGACATTATCTGATGTCATCTGGGTTAATGTCTCTACATCTCCCTTCCTGTGCCTTTGAAATAGTGCCGGGTTTCCAAAGATACTTATGAAATGCTTTAGGCAGAATAAACCCCTGGCCCCAGCCTGAGACCAGGGTACCACCAACCCTGTAACCCGCCCACAGGGACGTGCCCGTGCAGGCTCAAGCCAAGGACAGTACCCGAGGTGGAGTTTGGAGGCTGCGTATCTTAGGAGCTGGGGCCCAGCTGGGACACTCACCGCTAAGTCCATTCCAAGTGTACACCCCCACAGGCCCCAGGAAGGTTTGGTAGGGGTTGCTGACACTGTTGTAGAAGGTGAAGCCACAGCTCAGCAGCGAGGCACACAAGCTGAACACCACGAACAGGACGGCCACCACCTGCAGGCTTTTCTGAGAAGAGGCTTTCAAGGTCCCTAAAACTGAAACAGCATTGGGTGAGTGCAGACCCCCAGCCCGAGTCCCAGCCTCAGTCCAGTGATTTTCTTCCCTGCCTCCGTGGGCGCTGAGTTCAGCAAGGTCAAAATTCAAACCAGGGTGTGATCAGAGGCAGGGAGCAGCCGGCAGCTCTGAATGGCCCAAGAACGTGACCTGCACGGCCACTTGTGGGTCAGTGCGTGAGACCAGCCCAAAAAGAACGCTCCCGAGAGGGCGTGGCCCTCTCACCACCTGCACCATGTTCCCCACGCCAACTACCCACCACCACCACCCCAGCCCCACCCCGTCTTTTACTACATAACCAGTGTCTCTTTCATCCTGGGCACAAGCTCAACTTCCTGTCGGATACCCTTATGGGGTGGACCACCCCAAGAATCTGTTTACAGGGAGGCGGCCACAGCCCCACTGCTTCCAGCTTGCAGGCTGACCAGGAAGCCAGGAGCAGTGGTCAGCAGAACAAGGCAGGAGGGAGGGCTGTGGTGGGCCCAGGGAGGAGGGAGAGGAGAATGGCTCCTGGTGGTACAGCCCATGCTGCCAGCATGTTTCAGGACATTCTATTGCCCTGGCCAAGCATGCCCAGCCACTGTTGGTAAAGCATCTCCAAGGGCTGCCAGTGTGCAGGAAGTGGCCCTGATAGAGAGATTTCATGTGGACAGTGAGCTACCAATACCAGCATTGGGCATCCGGCAACTGCAGGCTGGTGGAAATACACAGAAAGAGGCTGTCGCTTTCTCTGCTTCTCCCATCACCAGGGGGAGCACCATGGAGCCACACCCTACCCTCACCCAGAGCAGCTCTTGAGAACAGAAATAAGACAAGCCAGGGGAGGCAGGCCAGGGGAGGCTGCTCACTGGGGGCAGGCCGGGGCAGCGTCCTGTTTCAGGGCAAGGCATGGTGGTCCTAGAAGATGTACTGGGGCCCAGGCTTTTCCTGGGGACCATGGGGTTCTCGCTGCACAGAGCAGGCAGCTCAGAGGCCCTGGGTGGGCAGGCAGCAACAGTGAGTGGGAGGCCGGACACCATCCCCCACCTAATTCAGCTCCCAGCAAGCAGATCTTCCCGCCCCAGGACCCGGTGCAGCTTCCTCCCCACTCTTGTGTTGGGGAAACCTGGTTTAGCCTGCCCCCAGGACCCTGGAGCTCCCTTTGGAGCCGCCCCAGAGCCCATTGCCCACTCCTGCTGGACACATTCCAGCCAAAGCGGTCCCAGCCACACATCTGACCTGAAGGCTCACAGGCCCCGACGGGACCTGACCACCCTGAGCCTCAGCACCTTCACGCTGTCTACCTCTGCTCTCATGTCAGCAGTCCCCTGGGGAGAGGCCCAGGAACGGGGTCCAGGCACCAGCTTAGAGAGCGTGTGATGGTGAGCACGGGCAGGGAGAGAGAGCAGCAAGGGAAGGAGAAGGGACTGTTGTCCATGGTCATGGGACCCTGGGCATTCCAAGGAGACTGAAGGGCTGCGGGGGTTCGTCATCCGTTCTGTGATGTGCAGGCAGTGACCTCAGCAGCCCAGGCTGGAGAACACTTTGGTCCTTAGACAAGGCCGGGAGCAAAGTCCACCTCACAAGGATGCCCCCCCCCCCCGGGCTTGCAGGTGACTGGGCTGTTGTGCAACCCGGTGAGCAACTCACTGAGCTGGGCTGAGGCCCTGCTGCCTCTGTCATGCCTGTGACCCGTAGTCTCATGGGCTGTGCATAAGGGTAGTTACCGGCCCGTGCTGCCATTGGGGGAGCACGCGGTCAGGTGAGCCCGGCCCTCTGCAGTGGGCTGGAGGTCCACACCTGGACCTCCTGGAGGTCTGCTCCTACCTTGACCCCCGGCCTCCCTCTTCCTCCTGCTCTGAGTTCATGCACCTGTTTGGAAAAAGCCGAGAGGCGTAGCAGAAAGCCACAGCAGCCTGGGGGACACACCTGGTCAGAGGTAAGGCCAGCACTGCACAGTGTTCCTTGCTGAATCACCTGAGGTGGGGTCGCACCCTGGCCCATGTCCTCAGCCTCTCCTGAGCACACAGCTGGCCGCTAAACAAACCGCTTTGTGGGTGTGGTAGCCCACAGCAAACAGTTGGATACCTAACAAGAAAGCACAGACCTGGACAGCTGCTTGGAACACCAATATCCCACAGTGCCTGAGGTGAGTTCCAGCTCTGCTCGGTGACCCATCAAGGGGGCTGGGTCCCCACCACATAAGGGCAAAGACCCCCGTCGAGTTGCTGACTCCTGGCTTCAGGCAGCCCAGGCTATTGCAGGTATGTGGGGAGTAAGCCAGTGGACAGATCTCCCCTCTCCCTCTCTCTCTTCCTCCCTTTCAAATACATCAGATAAGCCAATAGACATTTTAAAATGGTCAACACTCTGACTTGCTCACAATAAACTGGAAAGTGTCCGTGGAGTTCTCTTTGTTCTTAATCTTTGTAAGCCTGTAGCAGACGTCATGATTTTGCTAGGGAGTCAGTTGGAGTCTGTCTGCTCCTGCTTGGCTACGTACTATGATTACTTCTAACTTCACCTGCTGCCTTGTAAGACCACAGCTCCCAGCAATCTGAATTCCCTGCCTCTAGGTGCGACAGCTGAGGCCCCAGATGCAGACCATGAGAGCTGAGCATTCAGGAAAGTCAGTAGGAGTGAAAGACAATAGACCCTCTGGCATCTGACAGCTGCTTCAGCCTACAAAATCAGCACCCACACACAGCCCTTGTTCTCTCTGGGGGCGCCAGCGTCTGCACCGGGAAGCACTTCCCAGTGGGGGCTGATTGCCCTGATTCTGCAACCCACCCCAGCAAGAGGACCAGCAGAGCGGCCTCAGAGGTATGCATGGGGGCCAGCTGACCTGCGGCTGCAGGGCAGAGCTGGGCTGCCAGGAGGTACAGGATGGCTGTAGAGGAACCCCAAGCAGCAGGCTCCCCCCACAGGAAAACTCAACCTTACAGACAGCCATTTCCATTGCCTTTCAGCTTCACGGTTCCAGCAAATTCTTAGACACTGTCGGATATCCCAGGGCTCTGTAAGCACCCTTACGCCCCCATCAGCACCTGGTCACCAGAGAACCTGCCCAGGTGCAGCTCAGGCCACAGTGAAGGAGGGCAGACTCTTAGGGCCTGGCACCTCTCTCGGGCAGGCCCCAGTGCAGTCACATCTCTGGGTGAAGGCTGGAGATCCTTCCAGGCAAAGTGCCTCCTCATGTGTTGGGGGCGGGGTATGCATCCAAGTGTGTGGTGGGAGTTCTTCACATATTTGCAGAAATTAACTTCATTCAGGTTTAGCAGCAAGTGCATCCTCCTAGTTATCAGTTTGGGCCAGTAGTGCTACGTCACGTGCTCTGGGAAGAAGTGGGATGGATGTAGAAAGGCAGACAGGGTGAAGGGGAGAAGCCAGACAGGCTGGGTCCTCTACCTGCTGTAGCTGGTCACTGATGTAAACACAGTGGATTCTGAGTCCTTCTGTCAGCCTACTTTGGTTCATTATCCCCAATAAGTGAATGTTACTTCAAGCAGTCCAAATGCAAGAAGCTTAAGCATGCTGCCCAGGACAGCAGTGCCCAGCTGTGAAGTTAGCAGCCAGCTGTGGTAGAAATTGCAGGTGGTTCTCAACCCCCAGTCAGTCTGCCCCATACTGGAGTCACTTGGAAAGCTGGGGAATGAAAAACAGCCTCCGCTCCTGAGAGGCAAACCCACTGGAGTGGACAGGGGGTGGGGAGCAGCTCCAGCGTGGGCACCGTGGCTGTGTACTCAAGAACCAAGAGAGCCATGTCACACGAGGAGGAAGCACATCTTAAACACTTCTGTTGGAGCGACTCTGAAAGCGCACGCAACAGCCAGTGTGTAAAGCTGAACACGACTGGAGACGACATTCTAGGCATGCTGATTCATGGGAGGAAATATTAGACGTGTTGCCCCTCTGGGCCCTGACTCTTCTTGCAAGACAGCCGAGTTAAGGCAATGATTTCTCTCTTACGGGTCCCAATTGACCTGACACCCCAGATCCTCAACTGAGGAGGCGGTAAGCTCCTGTGAGCGTAAATGGACATCCTCCGGTCCACTTGGCTTTTGAGATCCTGCATCCAGTGGATCTTTGCAGATCTGTGACCCCCTCACCGTTTGCTTACTGGAGACCTTCACACTCCATCAACCTTCCAGTCAGCACAGGGCGCTGGATGTAACTGGTGTAGGTGGGGTGGGTGGGGTTTCTCTGGCACCAGGCAGCCAGCCCTCTGATAGCATGAGCTGCACATGGGCACCTCGCAGCACCCATGCCCCTTACCTCGCAGCACCCTTGCCCCATACACAGCAGCTGCTCAGACAAGGCTTTGCACTGATACCAAACATCTGTAATTTCTGGAACAACAGAGAAAACCTTCTCATGGTGGACAAACAGGAGCAATCTCTTGTCATTTGGATCTGGACAACCTGGGTTTGCTCCAGGAGCCTAAACTGCCCCGGCAAGCCAGCTCCACACTGGAGAATTGCCACAACTGGGCTTGTCTACTGTCTTCCCCTATTGGTTGAACTATTCTGGCACTTGAAATCTGCCATTGTCACTTCATTTTGCTCTTTCATGTCAAAATCCACAGCCAAAACTGGCCTCCCCTCACCTCCCCTGGCCTCCCCGGCCTCTCTTGGCCTCCCCTGGCCTTTCCTGGGCTCCCCTGGCCTCCCCTGGCCTCCCCTGGTCTCCCTTGGCTTTCCGTGGCCTCCCCTGGCCGTAGATCATCAGCATATCCATGGAAGCCATTCATCTCAAAGTCAACGGTTTCCAAACAGAAGTATGAAAATCCAAACATTTGTAGGTTTTGTTTCTTACACTCAAGTTTTAAAGCATGCCTGGGGATTCAGGAACTAACACACTTTTTAGCTTTAAAATTCAACGCACACAATCAAAAGTGGGACTGACTCTCTGAAAACCTGCGTTTCTATGAAGCACATAGTCCCGCTGCCATGGGAAGCTGAGACTAGACCAGAGGAAGTGTGTCAGGCCCTGAGTCCCAGGAGAGGGGCTGATTGGCTAATAATTAAATGGCCACTTTTTAAGCTGGAAACCTAATCATGTAGCTTTCGATTTAAGGAAATCATTTTCAAAACAAACTAGAGCTGATGTCTCAAGCTTGAAGTCTTACCATTAGGCCTCATCCAAGTATCAAATGCTACATTTTGATAGGAACTCCCATCTGTCAGAGATGATGACTAAATAGAACCTGAGAATGCATAAGCATCCAAAGTTTCTTTAACTTCCAAAACTGTAATTGTGGAAGCCGAGTTCCAAAAGTCAAATAAAGAGCTTTGATAAGCTGTTTGTTCTTAGTAGATTTTTTACTTTCCACTCAAACAAGGATGTTTTTATGTGGAAAATCTAAAAAAATACTTAGGAATTCTGGCAAGGTAGACATTAATAGAGTTGCTGGAAATCTGATTTCTAAAATGGCCTCCTTAAATCCAAATCAACACAGTTATGTTTTCAAAACTTTGAGATACTTGGATGAGGATACAAGTTGTCGCAATGAACACAAGAGCAGGAGAAGAAAGCGTTCATGTTTTGTTTGTTTCTTTCTTTGTTTTTTGTTGGGTTTTGTTTTTGTTTTTTGTATTTTTCCTGGGTGAAAGTTTCTTAGCAAACGCTAAACAAGGATTGTTGTTACAACTAAAAGGTCACAGTCAGTGACCAGTGCGGTCTTCGGTCTTTGTTATTTCCTTGTCAATATCCTTATCAGTTACCACTTCTACTTAGTCACTGCCAGATGATTTAGAACTAAGGAAGCTAAAACAGAAACGTGGTGAGTTTAACTTACATCAGCATTATGGCGTTATCGACGAAGACTAGGAAGAAACCGCTCCTGAAAGACTGCTTGCCCGGGAATGGAGCATTCACCTTGAGCCAAGCTTACTTCGCTCATTTAAATTTGTCACTTACCTTCAAAATACTTCATGGGCTCCTCGAGGCCGTGACTCAGTTGGGGAAAACTCTGTCCACGCAGCAGCCCGTAGGTGATGATAACCGTGCCTTGGGAGATGTTGTCCTGGATGCTGATGGTGCTGGTGATCCACTCTGATGTCCCCAGAATGGAGCATATGATGGCGGAGGCCCCGAGGCTGGTGAGGAAGCCAGCAAAGAACATCCAGGTTTTGGTCCGTGTGGGCATTTTTAGGAGAACGAGTTCCCTAAAGGGGAAAAACAAAGATGGTCTCGCTGTTTTCGGACCTTGTCACCCGCAGAGTCGTGTTGAGAAGTGAAGTCAGACACCTGCTGGAAGGATTAGACTAATGAACGCTGAACCAGGGTCATAAAGATTTTTCACTGCTGAACTTTGTCCTGGAATAGGGGTTGCTATGGTTACAGCCAACCAGCCTGAGCAAGGGGTGGACATGGTCTTCCTCAGGACTTCCTCAATCCCACGATTAATGTGTAATTCTTCGTCAGGTGCTGTGGGAGCAGGTTCAGTCTACCATGTCAGGAAGGGGCTAGAATTCTTCAAGGAAGACAGGGCAAGTGGCTGTACTCACACAGCGTTGTGGATTCTAGCAGCCAGCAGCTCAAGAGCAAAGGCCTTGGGCCTTCTTCTGATTGGCAATTTGTCTTGAACATTCTTCCAGAAAGAAACCCTTGGGATGTGTTGCCGAGGGGACTATGGCTGGGAACCTTTCTCTGTGTTCCAGCCCCTCTGTCTCTGTCTGTCCTAGAGAGATGTGCCCTTTCAAGTTCCCTTTCCACACCAGCAGACATTTACACATGGTTTGCATCGGGACTGCTGGGGAGGCCGACTTTGCTCTGCCATTGTCTGACAGCCATGGTGTTTAACACCCTTGACTAGAAGGCCTCATGTCTTCTCTGTGAAGCGGTAAATAACTTATAAATGATTATTCCTTTTTTGAAAAAGGATTTATTTTTATTTATTTGAAAAGCAGCATGGCACACAGAGAGAGGTCCTCCATATGCTGGCTCACTCCCCGGATGACTGCAACGGCCACAGCTTTCTGAGCCGGGGTTAGGAGCCTGGTGCTCCATCTCTCCCATGGGTGGCAGGGGCTCAGGCACTTGGGCTGTCCTCCTCTGCCTCCCAGGTGCATTAGCAGGGTGCTGGGTTGGAAGAGGAGCTGCCAGGTCTGCAACTGGCACTCCGATGTTGCTGCCAATGACATAGGCAGCAATGCAACAGGATGTGTTGTAGCACCGACCTCAGGCGGTCGTTTCTAACTCTCAGAAAAACTCCCCCCGGCTAACAGGTCACTGTCAAGGTGACGGCAGACTTTCACAACAGGCTTGTGTGTTTGTTTCCCACACCCTGTGACTCTAGGGTGACGCTGAATACTCACTGGAGTCCACTACTGCGCTCTGACACCAGTTAGTCCCAGTAGACGAACTGAAGGGTGGACCCCAGGAGGCGGCTGCGTGTTTGCAGATCCTGTGTCTGTCCCAGGAGTTGCCAGAGGTAAGTGCACGCCTTTCTTGATCACCGTGTTGGTGAGGTTTCAGTCTTTACCTTACGATCGAAAAAGAACCGGCTTATGACGGAAGCTTCGCCCACATCTCTGTTCCTCTGCTTAGATTTTCAGAAACAAATCAACGTCTGTATGTGAACTGTGACACTGCTTCTACGTCTTGCTCAGCTGCTCATCAAGAGAAGTGCTGAGATGCCCAGCATGCCGGAACACCGGGCGTGTGTTGGCCTTGCCCACTAATGGGAAAGCTAGCTGACTTCTTTTCCATTAAAGCCTGTTTTTGAAGGCATGGGGCAACAATTCAGAAGTTATTTTCTTTTAAACCCCTGGGAGGAGGCAGATGTTCAGCCTTGCCGCGCTGAAGGGTGCAGCCTGCCGTGTCTGACAGCAGAGTGCCCAGCTCTAGCCCGACCCCGAGCTCCTGCTAACCCAGAGCCTGGAGAGCATGGGTGACAGTTCTGGCGGCTGGGCTCTGCTGCTCACATAGCAGACCTGGGCCCACTTCCACACTCTCGGCACCAGCCGCAGTGGCCTGCCCTGTGGGCATCTGGGACAGTAAGTAAGTAAACACAAATAATTTGCCGAAGAAGTAATTCTGTTGATGTGTGTGTGTGTATACTATTGACATTATTATATTAAAATCCAATCTTATGTCTTTTTTAAAAAGATGAACTTATTTTATTTGAAAGTTAGAATTACAGAGACAAAAAAGGAGAGAGCTTGACCTGCCGGCTCATTCCCCAAATGGCTGCAGCTGCTGGAGCTGGGCCAATTTCAAACTGGGAGCTTCTTCCGAGTATCCTATGAGTGCAGGACTCAGCGACTGGGGCCATTCTGCTGTTGGGCCAGCCGTGTAGCATCTGCAGCATGTGATCCAGTGCCCGTAGGGGACGTCAGTGCCACAGGTGGAGGATTAGCCTGCCACGCCACCATGGTGCCCCCACACGCCACACACTCTATGCTCTAACTTCTGATTCCCTTTTAAAATCTCAACAATTCGCAGTGGCATCTTTTGCTCTGTACAATGCGCCCAGTGTTTTTTCTACAAACCTTTTTCAGAGGACAATCACGCCTTTGCGTGTTTTCCCTGTTACACCGTGGTAGGGGGGTGCTCTTTTTGTGTTTAGATTGTTTATCTTTGCATTCATTATCTTTTTTTTTAATTTTTATTTTTGATGATGTTTACATAATTGATCAGGGTGGGAAGGATCAATGAGGGTTAGGGAAAGTAGGTTAGACCATTGTTTCCAAATTTTCTTGTTCTTCTTCCTGTGTCTGGGGGAGAGGGAGATAAGGTAAGAAGCCACACGTAGCCTCTCAACTACCCCAGAACCCAGGGTTGGGGAACAGCCGCCTGATATCAACCCAGGGGCCCTGGGGATTTAAACTCGGAGAAGACAAATATTCTTTCTAGGTATTTTCTCAGGATAATGCTTCCTTCTCCAAAGGGCAACTGCTGAGTCAGAAATGCTTGCCCACAAGTGGGAAATTTGTCCCAGCATCTGCCAATGGCACTTTGTCTGGCCCTGGTTCTCTGCAGGTGCAACACCACACAGCTTTATTGCATCTTTGGTCTCGCACAGGACCAGAGGTGACAGCCAGCAGGGTGCTCTGACTTTTTCCTCAGAGGGGAAAACATTTCCATATGACTGCTCACCCCAGATGGTCATCATTTCCAGAGCTGGCTCATTTGTGATGTGGAGGTACTTGTTATTATGCTATAAGGATATCACATCTTAGGCGCACACACACCCCTATTTATGTGTTGGTACCTTATGACATACTCCTGAGATTTACTTTAAAAACATGTTTTAGAGGCATGGCAAGAGTGAGCAGAAATACTTCCATCCACTGTTCTGCTTGCTGAAAGCCCCCCCATGGCTGAGGTTGAAAGTCAGACATTAGCCCACGTGGACGGCAGAGGCCCAATGAGCTGAGCCCAATCTACCGCCTCCTAACGTCTGTGCCAACAAGAAATTTGTTTTTACTATAACATTTTGGAAAATGAAACATTCAAAAAATAAGTTCCTATCATGCTTCAAAACTAGCAAGAGTTTCCTTAGCATCCAGGTGATGCATTACATCTCATTGTTAACTTTGCCTCAATGCCTACAGGAAGCTGAAACTTCATACAGGGTGAAAACCGGACGCTGGATGAGCCCTAAAAGAGGCACTGTGTCAGTCACTTGGTGACCATTGCAGGGGACTCTGCTTTTGCCAAAATGTCCACCTTTTTGATGGACTCTGTGATTTCTGAGTGAGCAAGAGGAAGTCACCAGGAGAAGCTCACGAACCTTGCCGGACGGTTTCATTTCCATGGCCCTTCCAAGATACGAACGCTAATGTCTAAGAAGAAAAGTCACGAATGACATTTGCCATTGAGACTGGAAAGGTGACCTGCCTTCCTGCTCCCACTGTGATGACACGATAATGTCTCCTGAAGAACTGTATGCACACTCACAGGTGCGCATGCACACACACCTCACAGATGCACCTGCACAGGTGTGCACACACACACAGGCACATACAAAGCACACACTTATATACAATGCACACACGCACACATACACCCTATGTGCGTACATACACGCAGTGCACAGACATACACACGATGTACTATGGATCTGAATCCATTGATTAAGAATTCTACATTTAACCCTATGGTGTGACACTGCAAGAACAATGCTGCACCTCGTAGCATCTCATATTAGAAGGTAGGTGGGAATGTTCTATGTGGACGCCGGCCACAACACAGTTAACTAAGTGTTGGTGCATTCATAGACTTCAGTGGCTAACAAATACAGTACTGTCAAAAATATTAGTATGAAAACTTATCCATATGTTACATTTGAAGCAACAGGAAATTCATGTGCACCTATGTTTGTAAATGCCTAAGAATCTTCTGGAAAGATGGAGCAGAAAGAGATACTAACTTTGTCTCAGGAGAGATGAAATTAGTTGTTTGCAGAAAAAGGGAGAAATCTTTACCTAAATTGAACTGCCTTATTTTTTGACACTTTGGTATTTTGAATTGTATGTGTGTCCTACTTAAGGGGAAAAAAGTATAAGCTGACTAGCATTAAATAGCGCAGCCACATGACATTATAACACACCAGTTAACATATAACCTGAACTGCTACTTTCATATGTAATGTATGCTATTAATTAATTCATTCAGAAACCAATCTACCAAGCCCCTATTTATGTGCTTGCTCGGTGCTGAAATGGCAAAAAATGAGCTCTTTCCTGGGGGAAGGCTTGCCTGCAGACAGTCACAAAACAATGAAAATTAATCTTCTGAGCAAGTGGGCCATCCATTACCGCCTTGACCAGCCTCTGGTCACAAAACAATACAGAAAAGTGGAAGTGATGTCACAGGAAGTGACGGTTTCATTTCCATTTTTGCTTATCAGTTTTTACCAGTTGTTTATTTGTTCATTGGTTTTGCTTTTCCTTTGTCAGCAGAAAGCCGTGATCTAGGACAGAAGGAAATGCAGGAGGTGACGAGGACACCAAGACCGCTTTCTGCCTGCAGAAGCTTCCGGAAGCACAGAGCAGTAAGGCCCAGACAAGGCCGCTTTGTGTCCAAGAGGAGGAGATGTCCAGGCTTGCAGCTGCGGGGGTGGGGACAGCATGGGTCGGGCAGACATCACAGCAGAATAAGGCTGGAGTTTGGAAATCTGGCCCAGTCCCAGCCACTACCAACCATGCATTCAAGGCTCTCCGAGGCTCTGTCGGTGCTGGGACCAGCCACGGGGGACCTTGGCGAAGGCCTCGGCCATTCACTGAGTCCCGACCTCAGATGAACCACAGCTCTGGTGGGAGGCTTCCGGTGACATATCCTAGCACAGCTTGCACTGGTCTAGAGGCCCAAGGACATTCACAGTAAGAACAGATGACGAGCGGCTTTCAAGAACCCAGTCAAAGGACCAGGGAAACAATCAGACCGAAAATCAAACAAGATACACACGTCGGAGCAGGGTTAGTCTTGTGGCTAAAATATCCGGGTTCAAGTCCCAGCCTGGGTGCCAGACTTGCCCTGGCACAGCCCCTGGGAGGCAGCGGTCACAGCTCAAGCAGAAGGCTTCTGCTACTTGTGTGGGAGACCCGGATGCAGTGGCCAGCTCCTGGCTTCGACCCTGGCTCAATCCAAGCCAGTGAAGGCACCTAGAAAGTGAACCAGCTCATGGAAGGGTGCACTCTCTCCCTTTCCCCCAGCTTAGGGGGAAGAACCCGAACATGCTTTTATAGATACTTCCAAGCTTTTAAGGGCAAAGACTAGTACAAGGAATAAACATGTGAGAAATTTAAATTGCTTTTAAAAATAATAATCAAGTGAAACTTCTGTGGCACACAAAATAGTATCTAACATGAAAAATTCATTACAAACTTAACATACGATTGAGCCTTGCAGGAAAAAAAAAAGATTAGTAAATTTAAATGCAGAGCAGTAGAAACTATCCAAATTGAAACACAGACAAGAAAAAAGACTTTAAAAATTGGAAAGCTGAAGTGAACTGTGGAACAATATTAGAAGATATATTACACATATGGTTGGAGTCCCAGAAGTAAAGCAGAGGTAAGTAGCTTCGAAGCAATTATGGCTATTTCCCAGGTGGAGATTTAAACTTTAAACCAAGAAGCTAGAATAATCATAGGTAGGAAAGACAGAAAATCACATCTAGACACACTTTAATCAAATTTATTTTTAAAAAATGATATGGGGAAAATTTTAAGGCAATGAGAGGAGAAAACATCTAAATTACTGAAGGAGGCTATGAAGGCTGAGTCTCAAAACGAGCTGATTGTAAAGGAACCAGCGGTAACAAGCTGCACAGCTCCACAACGTACGTGCAGTGGCAGAGGTCAGGACAATGGGTGATTCGGGGGTTTTCTGGGAAGGGACATGAAGGCCTCTCTGGAGTGGGGGGGATGTTCAACGTTCTAAAGGGTCTGCAATTCACTAGCTCAGGCA